GGGCCATCCAGTCCAGCCTCCTGCCATGCAGGAACTCACAATCAAAGCCACTTCTCAGTAGGGTCGATGGCAGAGAAAGATGAAGGGTGCACGGATCTGTCATGTCTGTGAGGTGTTGATGCAGAATTTCCAAGAAACTCCATGGCAAATGGCAGGTCATTTTAATGTGTGCTAAGGCCCCTTTGCATCGGGAATGGACCAGGACCCCCACATCAGCTTCCAGTCTGCCCCATACCAGCCTGGAGGTATTGGCTTGTGTTATCTAAACAGGACAATGTGAGGCTGGGGAGAACATGGGCTTTCTAGCCTTTGTGAACAGTCCCTAGGGAGATTATCACACACAGGTTTTACATTACAATTATAGTTGTAAAATAGCTCCTTCAGCAATATTTATCACATGATGCTGCCTCTGATCCATAGCTGCTGTGGCCACAATTTGTAGTTAGGGTGTCCCTTTTCATTGACGGGAGAAACCTATCAATTGCTCCCAATCATCCTACAGTCCCATGTGTACAATGTCATTGTTGTGATAGTTGCAATATTAGCAGTCCCATGGTGTTGGCATCTCCTCTTCCTTTGCCCCGTCCCCTCTTCCCCTTGCTATTCCCAAGCAGCCTGATTTAACTTATTTTCTCCCCATGTCTTTTCTTTTTTTGACTTTTAAACTTAAATTGCATAAGCAATTGTGTTGCTAAGTGTATTGAAAAGTAAAAATAAAAATAAAATAAATCTGAAAGGCAGGCTAGGTGGTGGATTGAAGGGGGAGTCTGGAAAAGAGCGCAATGGTAGCAGCAGCCCCAGATGCACGATTGGGAAGACATGTGATAATGGCTGCTCACAGATATAATTCTGTTTTCTTTAACAAGCATGATTGTGGTGAGAATGGGACTTGTAAATATCTTCCTTAAACTCTGGCAAATTCTGTGAGTTTATAGTCCAAAAAAAAAAGGAATTGTCCAAACTGTGCTTTGGTCATAGGCTTGTTGGAAGCTCATGGTTGCTTACTCTTGGAAAGACGATGGTTGACTAGATGCAACACTCATCTCATCTGCCAAGAAGACCTCTTCTTTTATTCTTCTTCTTCTCCTCCCCTTTCAGATGTTGTTATACTGCAACTCCTAGCATTCCTCACCAATGTTTATGCTGGCTAGGGAGTGGATGGGAGTTGCAGCATGAGCTAATCTGAATGAGGAAGACAGAGCATCTTAAAAGCACTGCACATGTGTTTGGGGAGAGGATTAGCCTAACCCATTTTTTCCTTCTCCTTCCAATGCAGCTTCCTGGGTTTGTTGGACATCGCTGTGGAGGTGAACATCACAGCCGCTGTCAGATTGACAATGGATGGGACAGGCTACCCCAAGCTGGTGATTGACCACTGTGACACCCTTCTTGGAGGCATTAAAATCAGACTCCTTAGGGGGTAAGTCCCATTGACTGCAGACCATATACATATAAATCGATGGGAGAGATGCCTATGGTTTCTTCTCCAAAAGCAACATTGCTAGCGGTCTTTTCAGCACTCCGCTCTTCTTAATGGCTCAGATCCATAAGACAACATCTCGAAACATTGCAAATATTTGTCACATTTATTGCACAGATACCCTTTCAGTTTCTTCTCAATGGTTCCTTTCCTTTTTCTCTCTAGCCTGCTTCCAATTGTGGATAATTTATTAGCCCGTGTACTGAACAGGCTTCTTCCTGACCTGGTAAGCAATACTTATATTTATAATTTTACTCTATATCAAAAGATCTCGGGGTGACATACAATAAACTCAGTGCAAAACAAT